GCTGTCATTTTTTTTATTTGGGGGAGATTTTTGTGTCAATTTCTTGTTTAAATTTCTCTGTGTTTTGCAAAGATAAAATATTTCAAAGAATTTAATTGAAATGGAGTGAACAATCAAATTGTCAAAGAAGAGGAAGAAGAAGAAGCACGTGGGGAAATAAATGGGGAGGGTGATGGGTACCAAGTTAGCTGATTGTATGTGTGACTAGCATCAGAAATAATTGACACACACGTGACCCACCCACACACTCCCTCCCTTTCTGTTGTTTTTCTTTTAACGGCTGCTTTTATTAGTGCATATTTTTCGCTCACATTAATTTTTGCCTCTAATTTTGTATTTAAAATTAAAGTTGATCCGAAGCCAGCCTAATTAGATAAAACATGATATTGAATTAAAACCCAATAGAATGATTCCCCAAGACACTTTATCTTTTCATCTAAATAGCCCACTGATTTTGTTCGTGAGAAACAATAATAAGATCTCACAAACCGGGACTGGGCAGGGGGTGGATTATTTTTTTATAAATAAAAAAGTTCAACCAAGTTGGATCTCGAAAGCTCATTAACACTATGCTTGAGAAATTTTTCTTTAAGGGAAAATGGAATGGATGAGAATGACTAAAAAACATAAGCTACTGTTTGTAAAATTTTTTTGAAGAAAGATAGAATGGTAAAGAAGGGTCTTTAAAGCCATTCTTTATCATCCATAGTTCAATATTTTTTATCTCTCTAAATTGAGGGGGTCTAGGATAGAGTGACATAGTATGATTATTTTATTTTTAAAATTACCCCAAACTTTCTATCTTAATAAAAAAAATTTCATATGTTATTTTCATTCTCCAACCATCTCTCTCACCTCATGCTAAGGTTACACAACGGCAAGGTTGGGTCAGGTATCACCCCAGCTCAGTGCCTAACCCGATATGCACTTGGGCACCAAACTAGCCTGATTTTCACAAGTATTTTTTGAAAAATCTATAAAAAAAGTCTTCCTTAAAAAATATTATTATTATTTAAAATATATTCTTCATAAAACTAATATTAGAATCAAAAGTAACTTTTTAAAAGTTCAAATGAACAACAATTGTCAATTATTTTTACATAATAATAAGTTAAAAATAAATTTTAAATTTTGAAAGAGATTTAAAAAATTGTAATGATAAAAAATGTCTAAAAGATAATAAAAAATAATATAATTCATGATAACTTTTAATAAAAAATAATGTCATGAGATAAATATTACTTACAAAAAAAATTTAAAAAAACAAAAAAAAAACTTGCAAATGTTCAGGTAAGGCAAGGTTTGACCCCTGCTGATGCTTGGCCCCATGTGTCCAAATGCTTCAAACAAGGCCGGATTGGTTAGACATTTAGGCATAGTATATAATTCTACCTCGTGTCATATCTCTCTTGCTCTTGCCATCTTTTTCTGTTGCACCTTTCTACACTACAACTCTGTTGTGTTTTCTTTTTGTGCAACAAGAATATTTGCTTAAATAGCTCTATTACTTATTTTCTTTTTTTATTCTCAATTCTTGAGTATCTTGTTTAACTATTAATTATTATTATTGTTATTGTTATTGTTATTATTATTTGTTGCATGAATATTATAATTATTTAATGGGCATTATTATTTTCTTTAAATTTAGTCATATGATTAATATTGGAAGAAAAAAGTTTTAAACCCTTATGTTCCATTCGTTTTATAATAATTTCCAAACAATGATCATGTAAAATCATTCCTTCCCATCATAAAACTCCCAAATAATGAAAACTTTTGTTCTAATCCACTTTGCTCCACTCCATTCTCGTTCCATTTCACTAATGACCGTTCCTTTCCATTCAATTATAAACTCCGAAACACACTTTAAGACTAGGGTATATTTCTAAATTCAAAACACACTTGCAGAAATATTTATAGTCTTACAAATTATTTAATAACAAAGTCTTCCTATTAATAGTGAGATTTGATTTCATGATCTGGTAAGCAAATTCTTACCAACTAAATTAACTTTTAATTTCATGAGGCGACGTGGGAGATCTTATGTATGATTCATCTAGCCAAGGGCATATGTTCTGAAGAAAGGAGATATGACTACCACTGAATTGTTGCGCAACCTTTTGTTGGAGATGAATAGTGTTGTGAATAGAGAGCTTAAGGGCTTTGTTTGAAAATCTATTTTAGAAACAGTTTTCTATTTTTTAGAATAAAAGAACAAAAAAGTTTGTTTGATAATGTATTTTTAAAAAGTGTTTTGCAAAATAAAAAAAATAAAATATTCTTCTAAAAAATAAAAAAATAAAAACAACTTTTAGGTGTTTTAAGATTATTGTTCTGGTGAATAAGAGAGAATGAGAAAATCATATATTTTTATTATTTTTTTATTCTCAAAACATATTTTATAAAATATCAGTTTTCAAAATAAAAAAAATTAAAAGGGTGTCAAATAGCCCCTAAGTTGTTTTCCCACCACATCAGATTTAAAAGAGCAATGATACCATTTACTTGGCGTAAGAGGCTATCTTTTAATAGAGAGCGACTAGTACTTACCAACCAAGAAATGATACCTTCGCTTTTACTACTATTTTTGGCTTTCAGTATCAGGTTTATTTGATGTACAATATTCATTTTGAATAAAATTTCATCTTTTCACTAAAAAAAACAAATCAAGTCAAAATATTTCGGACTTGTTAGTAATTAAGAAAAAAAGAAATCACTACAAAGAGAGAAAGAGAGAGAGGGGGGGGGAGAACAAACGTGAAAAGTGAGAATGTTGGGAAATCTGATCAATAAAAAAAAATACTCAAAATATAATAACTTTCTAAACATTTAATAGGAATAAAATGAAAAAAAAAAGAACACAAAAATCAAAGAGGTATCTTATAAAAAGATCAAGATAAATAATCTCTTTATCTTATAAATAGGATTAGATTAACATTTTAATGTTATAATTAGCAATTTTACACTCTCAAATTAAATGAACGGACATGATTAAAGTGATTGAAAATTTGTAATCCTAGCAGTAGAACAAGTGAAAACCAGAAACAGAGGCTTTTTTTCTTTTCTTTTTTTTTGGGACCTGAAGAAACAGAGGCTTCAGGAAAAGCAAAAACAAGTTATTTATTTTCTGTAGTCATGTGAATGCCTTTTGCTTCACTCTTTGTGCCCTCTTTGTGCCCAGTGGCCGTGGCTCTGCCCCATCATAGGGCGGCGCTGTGGGGCGCTTCCACGCTACCATGCCCTACTCCTTTGAGCTTCTTTTATCTCCTTCCTCTTTTACACACAAACCAATATCACACGTACTGTATGAAAAGAGTATTAAAAAAAAAATCATGTAACATGCTAATACATAGCTAATAATGAAAACGCATGGGCTTTATTTTAATTATTATTCATATTAATATTGAGTATAGAAGATATGTGCCTCATCCATAAAAATTGATAATTATGTGATATTGTTTGTAAACATTACCATTTTTTTTAAATAAATTTTATATATTCCTATATCCAGTCTTATTTATAAGCAACAAGTTTGTTAAAGTTAAATTTTACTCATGACTTGTTTCTTATAAGTATGCCATAACCTAGCATATCTAATGTTGATATTGATTTCTCTTATGAAATGCATGATTATACATGTGTGTATATACATTTTCCAATCTCTATTACACAACCCTTTTATAGAAAGGTACTTTAATATTTATTATAAGACATGTGGATGGTCATTTATTATCATTTTTTCAATTTTATCCCATAAATTTAATTGTATGACTCATCGTATATTGCGTATATCTCTTTTTCTATTTTGAATAAGAATAAATTTGATTTTTTTTCATTTCAAGATATATTTAAGAGTTAATATGTAATTTGGATTATGAATTATAGGTTCAGGGGCAATTTAAATTCTAAACTTTTATTTGATACATTTTGAACACTAAATAATTAAAGTTGAAACAATTTTACTTTATCATTAAATTTAAATAAATGACCGTTACTTTTTAAAAAATGGGATTTAATGTATGATTTTCACCAAATTTCACACTTCCTTTCTCTCTTGCCCTCTTTTGAGAGAAATCAGACATAAGCCCCATTTTTAAAAAAGAAATGGCTGTTTGTTTAAATTTAATATCAGGGTGAAATTACTCAAATTTTAATTATTTAGGCTTTATAATATATTAAATAAGAGTTCAAAGTTTTAATTGCCCCTGAATCTATAGTTCAAAATTCAAATTACATATTAGCTCTATACTTAATGAGTGAATTGTTATTTTTTTTAATTCTAATGAAATAGTTGAAAATATTTTATAATAAAAAAAACTTATAGACTTAGCCTTTATAACGACAACTATGAGGAATATATAAAATCCTTTCTATGAGTAAATAAAATCAGAAAAATTGAAAAAGAGAAAGTGGACCTACATTAATGGATTAGCATTCTTCATAACTATTTCATGAATTGTTGAAGAGAAATATTAGTATAAAAAGAATGACTAAGAAAGCGATAGGAAAAAAACAAAAATAATGAACATTAATGAGAAAACAGAGCAACATTATCTGTGAATAATGTGACTCCCTGTGAATTTTATTACTGATATTAATGTATAAAAATAAAAAATATAGTAAGTTTTCTTGACCTGCCAAACAATATATTCAGTTTATTACCATGCTCAATTAAATTCATGCATGAACTTTGTTGATTCAATGTCCAAACCATTCATGTGAAGTAAATGCAAAGTGCACCTACATTGATGGATTTGGAACCTGTGCGGACCACTGCATGACCTTTAAAGATAAATATGATAGAATATCTGTTCAACGTCGACCAAGGGAATACAAGACCTCACAACTTTTCTTTCTTTTTCTTCTCTTTAATTCGCAGAGTCCATCGCAAAATCAAATTTGCACAGTAGATCTTTTTTTTTTTTGGGGGGGGGGGGGGGGGGAAGTTTCATGCTTGTAGGCCACCCCAGCCTGCATATATAAATGGAAGTCACTGGGTGAAATGGCAGAGAACCAAAATCTCGACAGGGATTAGCCCCTTTGAGACTTGAGAGGAGCGAGAAGAGAGAGACTTTTACTGCTACAGCTTAAAGAAGGGGAAAAACTTTTGATTTTTAGTTTTTTTTTTCTTACGACGTTTCGATCCGAAATCCCTCACAAATCACGCCTTGAAACTTGCTACATCTTTTATTCCCAAGTCCTAACGTTCATCTTCCGTCCCTCCCTAGTCCTTCCTCTTCCTTCTCTCTGCACCGTTGAAACGTTATGAGATTACTGCTTTATGCTTCACTCTGTAACACCTTTGATTGCTAGATCACTTTAGTGTTTTCGTCGTCAACATCTCTCTCTCTGTCTTTCTGTTTTGCTGGTTTCAACTTCAATGGCATAGTGCTTTGGTTCAGAGCAACAATGAAGCTTTCTCGATTGGATCAAGTTGACCCAGATCTTCAATCTGTTTGATTCTACTGAAGTGTGCTTCTTTCTCGATTAGTAGCTCGGCTTCGTGGTTACCCAGTAATCATCGTTTTAATATACAAAGGGTGGCGTCAAAATCTTTTTCTAGAAAGGAGATCAGAAATGTTGACCTGCATTGCGTGTTCGAAGCAGCTCAATGACAAGAGATCTCTTCCCCAACAAGATGAGCACGAAGAAGCCGTGGATACGCCCAGCACCAAGCAGGCCATCAAGGCCCTCACCGCACAGGTAGTTCTCCAAGTCGACCGAAAATTTCAACTCTGGAACCATGTAATTCTTCGTTTTTCCGAAGCTTAATGGCACCGGAGAAAAAACTATGATAGCCAATTCAGAACTAGTGGTTTCTGTTCCATTCTTTAGTTCTTGAAATTTCAATCTAGCTTTGGTTTGCTGAACCCAAATTATTTTTTTCCCTTGATTTTATACAATTTTGATCTTTAGATCAAGGACATGGCAGTGAAGGCTTCTGGGGCATACAGAAATTGCAAGCCTTGTTCAGGATCTTCAAATGGTAACCGGAACCAGAACTATGCTGATTCTGATATGGCTTCCGAATCAGCGAGATTTCACTGGGCGTACAAAAGAGCTGGCAGTTCCAACTCAACCCCAAGACTTTGGGGGAAGGAGATGGAGGCGAGACTGAAAGGGCTCTCTAGCGGCGAAGGAACGCCGGCGTCGGTGAGTGGTCGGACTGAGTCGGTGGTATTCATGGAGGAGGATGAGCCCAAGGAATGGGTTGCTCAAGTAGAGCCTGGCGTGCTTATCACTTTTGTTTCATTGCCTCAGGGTGGTAATGATCTGAAGCGAATACGGTTCAGGTACATTCTCTCGTTTGTTTTGGTCTTACACTTCAAATCGCACTTTATATTATGAGCACGCTGTCGTCTCAGTTCCCAATTGTCATTAACTTGTCCTAATAATGGAGGCAGTATATCAAACAGATCTTGATGTCAGTTCTGATCGCAGAATTTTATTAGAATTGACAGCTTGTTTCAACATCTCGACCCATTTGGAAATTTATGGCTGACTTGGCGACTCATATGGTGTTTTCACCCTAAAAAAAGAGACCAGTTTATTTATCAGCATCAAAAGTTTTCCATTTCGAAGCAGAGCTTGTTAGGAGCAGACTTTAAAGCAATGACAATTTACCAAGTCAGTTAATGAGATTCCATCTGGGGAGATGTTGGTTTACGAAGACAATTCCATTAAGTTCATGAAGGATCTATTTGATGTGCTTTTTAAAATAGGACTTATATGTTGATAATTAACTAAAGTACTAAATTTGATGGTGGTAACTTGTGATATTTTGGAGGGACCAATATTCACTCAATATCCATATTCGCTCCTGTTTTGATGTCACACGTCTCCAATGACTGTGTCTGTATTGTCTTTTTCGTCTCATCACATGCCTTGTGATGCCTTAGAGGCGAACTAACTTTTAATAAGTAGTGTAACGTTGTCCTTTGTAGTACTTTAAACTTTCTCTTGTTGATCTTGCGATTGAGGACAAGTTTGAGAGTGATGATCACATGCTTTTAAAGGCTGTCCAGATTCTGCACTAGCAGAAGCTGTCTTGTTTGCATAGTAACTTCTTGGTATGACTTTAGCTTTGTCAGTGATCGGTAAGTCATTCTAGAATTATTGTAGCAGCAGTGGGAAAAAGCAAAAAGCTTTGTTATCTTCTAGCCGCGGTGATTTAAACTCACTCACTCTCTTCTGCCCACGAAAAGAAAAAGTAAAAAAAGAAAAGAAAGAGGGACAAGAAAAAGTAAAGGAAGCTATGCAAAAGAAAAAAAGAGAGAAAGAACAGGAGGCCTGCTTGGTTTTGTACCACACTAGCACTCGTTGTGTGAAATAATTGAATAGAGACGTGAACTTCATACAAGAACTGTTGAATGATTTGTAAGAGCAAGCATCTCTTCTCTTTTTTTTGGGTGCTTTCAATGATAAGCATGCAGAAGTTTTTGGTTACAACTTTTGGCTCTTTCGTCTTCCTTGAAAGTTCAGGGCGTGACATAATCCATTCCAATGGGTTCAATTTGTAACTTTTATTGGGTATGGGTCATCTTTTGATCTGATTGATGAGGCTTGGAAGCTTTAAACAAGGAAACGCATGGTTAATTTTTTGTTTTGCCAGTGATGATTTATTAATTATCATTTTATGAATTTGATCAGCCGGGAAATGTTTAATAAATGGCAAGCTCAAAGGTGGTGGGCTGAGAATTATGACAAGGTCATGGAGTTGTACAATGTTCAAAGGTTCAATGAACAAGCAGGTCCGCTGCCAACCCCGCCGAGATCTGAAGATGAGGTGAGCACTTACCATTCTTTATTTTGGTGCATGAGTAAACAAAGGTCTGAAGTCATTTAGTTTCATGAAAAGCTCCAAGACATTTTTAATTGTAACACCCCAAAAAAAGTATAGGATCTCAATCTTGAATGATTGGGAAGTGAGTGAACTTCAGGTTCCTTCAACGGGCCATAACAATTATGGTACTCGATTGTTGCCTTATTTGTTTACTTTTAACAGTTCATATGAAGTCCTCTATGTTAGGGAAATGGCTAGAATGATAACATAAACAATGTATTTAAAGAAGCTCCATTTTTTACAGAGCTCGAAGATTGAATCTGTTAGAGACAGCCCTGTCACTCCTCCTCTTAACAAAGAGCGTCCGCCCCATCATCTCCTTCACCGTCAAATGGGAATGGGATACTCATCATCGGATTCGCTGGATCACCACACGATGCAACAGCGCCCTTGCTATGAAACAAGCGGTTTAGCTTCGACACCAAAACTCTCTGGCATCAGTGGGGCAAAGACTGAAACGTCATCCTTAGATGGTTCTGTGAGGACTAGTTCATCAAGAGAGGGAGATCAGTCTGGCGAGCTTTCACTCAGCAATGCCAGCGATATGGAGACTGAATGGGTTGAACAGGATGAACCAGGAGTATACATCACCATCAGAGCACTGCCAGGGGGAACCCGAGAGCTCAGGCGTGTACGGTTCAGGTATGCAAATCCATTACCTGATTGGTTGAACATTTTGTATATCGTTTTGGCTGTTCTTTCCATGGCATGTAGCTTAGGAACCTAACATTTGAAACAAATTATCTGATATCTACTGGTATCTTGGAACCCATTGTATAGGATACTAAGGTACAAGATGGCATGGTATTTAATTGGAGTTCTCATGTTTGGTAGAACAATTGAGAATCGTTATGGCAATAATTTTAAAAGTTATCAGCATCATGTATAATCATGATAATTTAAATTTAAGATAGCTTTGTACATTATATTTATGCAGCCGAGAAAGGTTCGGAGAAATGCATGCGAGGTTGTGGTGGGAGGAGAACCGTACGAGGATACAGGAGCAATATTTGTGATCATATCATAGCAAAGCTATTTCTATAGACAAACTGTTTGGGCAGACTAACAGGATGAGAAAGTACAGCGTGAAAGTAAACGTAGACAGATGTGAGCGATGGATAGATGCGTTCTGTGTATTCTGAGGTTCTGTTTCTTTGTTTTCTTCAGTTGATAAAACAAGTGCAAGTGACTTAGTCTGTAACTCGGGAAGAACTCTGGAATCTGTACTTCACTGTGGGGGGCATGTATGACGGGATGCTGATAAGTAGGGAAAATAACTTGCACCGTGAAATTTAGTCAATATTGTAACTTGTCTGGGGATGGTTAAATGCTTTTTCTTCGTCTTATATGAACTTTAATCTTTGCTATCATAGTATCATTGGACCCATTAATCTTCCTATTTAGACGTACTTAGTCGCTACTTACATGTAAACCATATATATATATAAATATGTTAGTGGTTGGAACCAACGTCATGACTCATGAGTCAAGGGTGCGGAATTTTAAAAATGATGATTTAATTAGAGTAATTTCTTAAGAAAAAAATGACAACAAAATTTTCCTGAATTTTATAAATCACAAGATGATCCCTCAAAATATTTATATCAATAAATTTTAAATTGAAAAACTTATGTTACTCTTATTAATAAATTGTAATTTCTTATTTAATTCTTGCAATTATTTGAATAAAAGTTGTTATTCTTAAAATAAAAGTTGTGGTTAAAGTTTATTATTGTGAAAATTTATTTTTCAATAATAAAAATTACACTTGATAAGTTATAATTTTTTACTTAATATTTGCGATTCACATAATAAAAATTATTATTTTTTAAATAAAAATTGTGATTAAGACTTGTTATTTTGAGACAGAAATTACACTTGACAAGTTATAATTTTTTATTCAATTCTTACTATTCACAGGATAAAAATTATTATTCTTTAAAAAAATTATGATTTGGGCTCGTTATTTTTACTAAAAATAAAGTAATCTTTTTACTTTAAAATTTATTGACATGAAAGTTCCTAAAATCTTTAATGAAATTATGACATTTTGAAATATTAAATTATCATTTATATAATTTTAAAAGATTTATAATCATTTTTTTCTTTTTAAGTTGCTCTCTAGAAGGAATTGATGATTCTTTTTAAAAGTTATCTTGTATAAAAAGATAGATAGATTATTAATTACTTTCTTTTCATTTTATTCTTTTGCAATTTTATGTGAATAGAGTAAAATGCTGTATATATGTGAGAGAAGCTATTTTTAAAAATGATGCATTTAATAAAAATAAATTAAAAAATTTATTTCTTTTTCCGATAATATGGATAATTTAACTAACTTATTAATTATGGTAGAATAATTAAAAGTGACTTATATGAGTTGAGAGCTATACTTGTAAATAATATGATTTGTCATAAATTTTATAATGAGATGCATTTTTTTTTTAATTGTTGGAAGGGATTTAGATTGCTTTCTTCTCTTATGGATCATATCTAATGTTATTTATTTAAAAATTTATGTTGTAAATCAACAAGCACATAATTCAACCAACCGGAAATTACATTAATTTAAATTAACCAACAATAGTCTTGATCAACTTTGGCAGTGGGAATGTAGTTGCATTAAATATTTATCTTTACCACAATTAGAGTTGTTATATATATATATATATATATATCCAATGTCAACAAATTATCAACTTTATGAAATGGTGTTTCAATTTTTTTCCTTTCCTTTATTCACGTGGAATGGCAAGGCAACACATGCTTATGCATGCCATGAAAATGCAATGGTCATAATTGCCCACTGTATATTCCAGATTTGCTCTCTCCGAAGGGATTTGCCGAGTAAGATCCACGTGTCCTTTTGTCTTATATTATTGGTTAGTTCTTGGCAAATCAATCACTTTTTGTGCATATTCAGATTCAGTTCAGGAATGGAAATAGTAATGGCATTTTCGTGGTTTTGGGCAAACGCCAAGGGCATTTTAACTTATTAAGCACGAGACTTTCCCCTCTGTAGTTCCGAGTCTCTGAGTGGTAAAACGATTTCAAAACCCTCGACCCTCTTCGCTCCCAAACCCCTCTCTTCCATTCTCAAGCCGCTTTCCAGTCTCTTTCCTTCGAATGCGAACCCTACCCATTTCCTCTTTCTTATCTCTATCATCTTCTTTGGTGTCAAGGTTTGATTTTTAGCTAGTTACCTAGTTTTTTATTCTAGGTTTTCGCAGTTTTTTCTGCTATGGCGTCTGCCTCGAGGATGGATGGTAGCACACAGGCACTTCCTGCCAGAGTGCGCAAAACCATCCAATCCATCAAAGAAATTGTGCGTAATCATTCTGATGCTGATATTTATGTGGCCCTTAAGGAAACCAACATGGATCCTAATGAAACCGCCCAGAAATTGCTCAACCAAGGTGGGCGCGATTATTTTGGCTGATTTTTTGAGTGGTTACTCTTAATTTTCTGGGCTGACATTGGGTTCTTGCCTTCTTGGATCATCAAAGTAGCACTTTAGTGGAAACTGAGGCTATTATGTTTAAGAAAGTCATATCTTAGATACATTTTGTCCTTCAATTGAAGTTACCGGCACGACAATTATCATCTTCCAATTATGTAATGATAAGGACCTTTGTCCTTCGGTTCCTCGCATCCTGTGTTGGGGCGAAGTTTTTCTTTTAGAAAAGCAATGTTCTTTGATTGCTCATTTTTTTTTTAGGTATATCTATGTAACTTAGTCTGGGCGCTGAAGTTATGAGGAAAGAGTGCTTCCCTTCTCAAGAATTTACGAGGAAAGGATAGAATCCTCTGTAACCCAGCATATTTGTTTAATGTGATTGAATTTTCGAACTTCAAGCCCTTGATTTATATCATTAATATGCTACTTTTAAGTTATATCACTTACGTTGATAAGGTAAGAAATCATTGACTACATTTACTTAAATGTGGCAGAGTATGCTATATGAACCTTTTGAAAGACACTTGTAAATTGCATTTTAGTTCTTGTTTTCATGCTTTCATGTCAACAAACATCTAAGTTAGTACCTGTATCTTCTTGCCCTGGTGAAAGCTCTTGTGAATGCTATATCGCTCTTAGTGAAAGCTTAGTATGTCCTTGCACTTTTACATTGTGATGGATGGGGAAGACCAAAAATAGTTGTTGATATTGTATAGAAGTTTCAGAGGACCAAGAGCGGTCAGGTTGATCAATCTTGAAGTTTAAAATTGTTTAATATTTCTAGTGATTCATTTATGAGTATAGCTCATAAGGTATAATTATATGGGGTTCTTTTATATGCAACTGCAAGTGAACTAGGAGTTGTACATTATGTTATTATGATCTGGATGTTATGGTATCTAATGCAATTTATTCTAAGTTATGCAATTCTTACAAGTATTCATAAAAAGTCATGATCATGATTAGGTTGCGCTGCATTTGGTCTCCTCTGTATCAACTTATGTATGTTATTGTAGTGTTTCTTATAACACTAGACACCTGTTCTAAGCATTTTTTGATAACATTGCACTTGTTATGTCATATGTGCCTCTTACTATTTATTGAAGTTGTATTTTGATTGTGGAGTAACGATTGAAGGAAATTAAAAGTTGATAGTTTTTATTCTTAAGTACGTTGTGACTTAATTGTTCAGATCCATTCCATGAAGTGAAGAGAAGAAGAGACAGAAAGAAAGAGGTATAACCTCTTCTACCTTTCTTTGCTTCTTTTTATATGCGTGGATACACAGTAGAGAGTATGGTTCTTGATGAATAATTTATTTAAAAGAATTTATTGCAGCCTCAAAGTGTTGGATACAAGGGTACATCTGAACCACAACGACGTGCTGAGAATGTTGGTCGTGGAATGAGGTTTCATGCTCCTTCTGAACCTGCTGCTCAAAGAATAAACTATTCTCGAAATACTTTACCTGGTAATCTTCATGTTTCACATTTTGGTGGTTAATCACCATTCTATCTGAATTCATAGAACATGGATGGAAATGTGAACATCTCTGGAGCTTTGTAGTCTAAAAACTAATGAATTTGTTAAATACTTTTGTTGGTTATCACTGAATTTCATTGCATATTTTGTATTTATAATCTTCTGTAGCAAACTTCAATCTGTATAACTTCTTGAATAACTAAGGGATCAATGTTTATGTTATATCTGTGTGGTCATTAGCATCGGTGTTCTAGCTGATCACTGGATGCCTACTAACTGTTCAGGCATCAGCAGAGAGTTTCGTGTTGTCAGAGACAACAGAGCAAATCATATATATAAAGAAGTGAAGCCTCCGTCAGTTCAACATTCAACATCCACCAATGAGCAATTAACTTCATCCGAAAAAGGGTACTTTATAATATCCAAATGATCTAGACTATGCGGTTTAGCTGTCTTGATTGCCTATCTGATTTTTATTAGTAATGCATAAGTGAATCCCTTGCCTTGGGCCATGACAATTGCATTTGGTTTAGTTTTTAAGGTCCAAAGCTATGTCTCTGCCTTGGGGTGTCACCTCATTTGTGAGGAAAACTTTGACTGAAGAAAGTGTCTTTGGAAGAAAGACTACAACAATGTGTTCAATGGGCTGTATTTTATTGCGGATTACTGCTTTGAACAACTTTAATTAACTATTGGATCACTAGTTGTCTAGGTCCCAATATTCTTCTATCCTTTTTTGATGTCTTTTACTACATTTGCCCACAGGATTTCACTTTATATGGAAGTTATTTTGTTCCTTGATTTTGTATTATGTTTGTGCCAGCTCATCAGCAGATTCAAGCAATCAAAAGTCATCTGTTGCTAGAAAATCATCTCAGGTTCCAAATGGTCCTTCTGAGTCATATGTTAGATACTCAGATGATGCTGTTTCTAAAGCCGTTGACAGAAAAGGTCCATCTAAGGAGAAGCAAAGTATGACTCCAGATACAGCACTGCAGTCGCAACCAGTTAAGCCAGGCAATGTCCATCAAAATTCTGTGACAGTGGCATCAACTAGTTCTGCTGTTGGAGTATATTCTTCTTCTACAGATCCAGTTCATGTGCCTTCTCCTGATTCCAGATCATCAGGCGCTATTGGAGCCATTGGGCGTGAAGTAGGGGTTGTTGGTGTTCGGAGACATTCCTCAGATAACTCATTGAAACAATCATCTGTTCCTAGTAGTTCTTATGCTAATTCACTTGTGGGAAAAGATGGTACCTCTACAAATTCATTTCAATCATTTAATACTGTCTCAAAGACTGAACAATTTAGTGAAACTAATGTAACTGAACCTTCATTCCCCGGCATGCCAGTTAGCAGATCATTCTTGAACAATCAGCATAACAAGAGGCAACATCAACAATCTGTGGGACATCAGAGAGGTATATTTCTGTTTGGAGCAACCATATTATGGTGCATTTTCTTTTATGATTATGATTTTTGTTTTCAATAGCAAATATCTCTTTCAAGAAATAGCTTCTTTATAATGCTACTGAATTGTAAACTTCTGTTTTGGAAGGGGACTTGTGGTTTCATGATGTGATTGTCCTCACCAGTAATCTATGATTTTGGATTATTAATAAAGGCGTGGAGTTTAGTAGCTTGTCTTCTCTTGGCAATGTTATCGCAGGATTAAGAATCTAGTATTTGTGCAGTTTTCACTATGATCTCTTTTATCAACTCAGAATAGGACTTTTATCAGCCCAGGGAGATTACTGTTTATTGTGAATATGATATATTCGGTCAAAAATTTGTGATTTTTATTGTTTCAGTTACTTTTATAGCTGATTCTTTGGTTACTGCCCTGCATCACTCCAGATTTTCCACTGACACCTACTTTTATTATAGTTTCAAACGCCACTGCTAACACATTGTCTACCCTTAAATTAGAGTAACCCATTGATTTTTATTGCTTTTAATTTGTTTGTACATGTATATTCATTGCCATTTAGTCATTATCTTCAATGAGATGGTTTTTACATTTATCACTGATGTATTCTTATCCTTTCCATCTTATTGTTTTTTTCCTCTAAATGTTTAATTTAATGTTAAATCCTGGGATATGTATCTGATTTGATTAGTTTTGAGTTTTGATGCAGTATCACAGCACAATAAAGAGTGGAAACCTAAGTCAAGCAAGAAACTAAACGTTAGCAGTCCTGGAGTGATTGGAGCACCTAAAAAGCCTGTTTGCCTGCTGAAAAGTCTGAAGATATAGAATCAGACACGGCAAAGCTTCAAGATAAACTTTCACAAGTAAATATATTTGAGAACCAAAATGTGATCATAGCGAAGCATATTTGTGTTCCAGAGACGGATCGTTGTCACTTGACTTTTGGGACCATTGGGACTGGAGTTGATTCTTCTAGGCATCAATCTAATTGTCAATCAATAGGAACTGCTGAAAACTCAAATGAGGAGTCTGTGACAAGGTTTGCATTTTTTTTTCGTTGGGTAGCTTTTTAATTGATCTCATCATTCTGATATGTGGAAAGGTCACTTTTGGTTGGAGAGCTGTAGATTTGGGATTTAAGAAGCATGAGACTGTCTTCATGAAGCTTGTCATTGTGCTATATTCTTGTATTAGAGAGAGATTTTTTGGCATACAAGGTTATAAGCATGTCAAATAAGAAAACAAGTAATAAAATTGAATAATCTTGGTATGCAGTGGGAAAACGTGCATAAATGAATTTGATTATGCCATTTTCCATTAGCTAGTTGTGATGTAATTTGACTTGTGATCTCAGCTTGTCAGTACCGGATCCAGAGTTGACCAATGATGTTCCTGGAAGCAAGCAAGTGGACTTGCTGGATGATCAGATTCAAAGTACTGGATCTGACTCACCAGCATCTGTTGCCACTGCTGAGCAGCAATTACCAGATGATGAGGAATCTTCAAGACCTCACAATCTTGACAGCTATGGGGATATTGGGCTGGTACAAGACAATAGAATGTCTTATGCGCCTTCAGAATCACAGCAGCAGCAGGATTCACATGATTTGCCAGGCTTCTCGGTGAGTGTTTTCTTTCATTTTTATCAACCAGATTGGTTGATCAATGAAATTCCTTGTATTGTTGTATTTGAAGTTATTAATTGTCTGCAACAAGGGTGCTGTGCTAGCCACGTGATGTGTCTGTATGGAACTAGTTCGATGTTGAAACTGGTGATCATTGCACATGGGGTGTGAATGTGAATGGGAAGCCTTGTTCTAGTCAGATATTGCTTGAACATGATCTGTCTTGCCATGGTCTTTGAAGATGATGGTATTGCTGTGTTAAACTTTAAGTAAATGTCTGGTGGGCCCTTTTTTTTGGGTATATTTGTTGCATTGTACTCCCTTCGTCTCAAATTATAAGACACTTTTAGACATAATCTCACATACCAATAAACTTCATTAAATATGCTTAATAACTTATTTTTCAAAATAAAAATATAAGCTTCTAAAAATACCCATCATTTAATATATTGAAAAGAGAAGAGGTGGAAATTACTTATAGAGAGAGAAAAGGTAATATTGAAATTGGTGCATTTAATGAAACCTTAATTTACCCAAAATGTCTTATATTTTAGGATGGAGAAATTTTATCAAAAGTGCCTCATAATTTGGGATGAGGGAGTATTTTATTTCCTATTATAAAGTCTAGAATTAAATCTTGTGTAAAGTATGTTATGAAGCATGTTTCTAAGATTACTTTGGTAAACATATTGGAGGAGAAATAGTAACTACGATGTCTAATCTATGAAAAAAGGAAAGAAATGAAACATGTAAATATGGAATAAAATTTACAGTACCAAATTTTGATTAAATTAGAAAATTAATGCATTCAGACAATTAGACAATTGCAGGGTACCTAACACAAGCCAGTGGACAGATTCATGTCATTTGGAAAAAGGTGAAGGATCAGGAATAAATCTAATTAGCCACAAGTACTGATTAGTATCAAGTCTCATTGGCTTTGTTGACGGAAGTTTGTAATTTACAAGTTATCATGAGCTTGTGTTACGTTGAAATGATATTTAATGGCCTAAGAATGACAATCTTGTTCTTTAACATGACTGGCGTCTATTTGTCTAGTAACTAAACACTCTTCGTGTATGAAAATAGCTGTATTATGATGTGTAACAGATATCTGCCTGTTATTGTCTTTGCATCCTCACAAATGATTTTGCAAACAGGTATATGATCCGCCAACTGGGTATGACATGCCCTATTTGAGACAGACAACAGATGAAACTGTACGAGGGCAGGGTCTACCATCCGCTCAGGAGGTATGCTTAAATCATAAGTGTAGGGGTTTTTCATTTTGGGAAAGCAGAAATGTTTCTGTATTTCTGCATTATATAATTAGTTCAGGCTGGCCTTGCTTTGTGGATAATAATATGTTTCCATGCCGAACCCAATTGTTCTAGTGTTTTCCCCTCCTCATTCAATCCCGAGTGTTTTTAGATTTTGATCCCATTCACTTGTAGAGGTTCATTCCTTGGCTGTGACATTACCAGACATTCTTTGGGATGATTGCAGGGTTATGGCTCTCATAATTCCAATAATATCCCTACCTCCACAATTCCCATGTTGCAACAACAACCTCCAGTGGCACAGATGTACCCGCAAGTTCATGTTTCACATTTCTCTAATCTTATGCCATTTCGTCAGTTTCTCTCTCCAGTATACGTTCCCCCAATGGCTATGCCTGGATATTCAAGCAATCCTCCTTATCCTCATCCATCAAATGGAAGCAGTTACTTGTTGATGCCTGGAGGTGGCTCTCATCTTAATGCAACAGTATTAAATATGGAGTCCAGCAATTCAAGCCTGTTCCTTCTGGCAGTCCTACTGGGTTTGGAAATTTTACAAGTCCAACTGGATATGCCATGAATGCCTCTGGTATGGTTGGAGGTGCAACAGCTCTAGAAGATTCTTCTCGCATCAAATACAAAGATAATCTTTATGTCCCAAATCCTCAGGTAATGCACTTTTATTCATTATCTTGACTTTTGTGTAAAGAAGTTGTTGGGGTTGTCAGTGAAGATAATGGCAAACAAGAATGTCAGCAAGTTCTGAGTGCCAATGCTTTTTAATGTTCATTCAACAATCCTGTCAGGCACCTAACCCTAGAGTCTAACCATGATGAATTTATGGACATATGGTTCCTCATAGTCTTGTGCCTTCAATTGTCAATCAAGCAGAGTTCCTCCTTTATATTTTTGGTAACCAAGCTTTTAACGAGTTGAAGCAAATGGGTTAAAAAAGTTGATAACAGAACGGTGCATTGAAGTCTGGAATTCGTTCTTAGATTATCTTGTACGACAAGATCATTTGTTGATCCCAGAGCTACTTTCCTTGATTAATTTTCTGAGACTAGAATTCAGAGTCATTTTTCATGATTCGCAGGCTGAGACATCAGAAATCTGGATACAGAACCCAAGGGAGCTTTCCAGCATGCAATCTCCTCATTACTATAACATGCCGGGGCAAACGCCGCATCACGCGGCTTATGTGCCATCACATGCCAGCCATACCTCCTTCAACGCAGCTGCAGCGGCAGCAGTGCAATCCTCTCACATGCAGTTCCAGGGGATGTACCATGCTTCTCCACAGCCGGCTGCCATGGCTAGTCCTCATCACCATTTAGGACCAGCAATGGGCAACAATGTTGGAGTGGCTGCGGCCGCACCTGGGTCTCAGGTTGGTGCATATCAGCAACCCCAAATGGGTCACCTCAATTGGACGACAAATTTCTGAAAGGAAAGAAGAAAAGAATGTGAATCCTGACCCTTTCCGTGCAAGGGGCTGAAGTAGATATAGAAAAAAATGGCAGGTTTTATTACTGAATTTTCTTTTTCCCCAAATGCATTATGATGCATTCATTTTTTTTTTAATCCATTATTATCAATCTCTACCATCTGGGGTAGCTCTGGAAATTGTCGAATTTTGACTTGGGAAAGTAAAGTTTAAAATATTCTCGAGTGCCAACGCCTTCTGGCAAACAATAAATAAATAAATAAATAAATAAATAAAATAAAAGCTAAATACAAAAAACAAAAAGCAAAAGTGCCTTTGCCTGGCTAGACTCTTGAATTCCTGGAGTAAAAAGCCTCAAAGATGAATCAATGTTGTAACACTGACGGGTGGTCACTAGAATGTTAAGGCTAAATGGTAGTTGTTAAGTTAAAGAAGGGTCTGGTGTTGAAAGTGTAGGGTTTATGGATTTGTAAGCCCAGTAAAAAGTGAAAGCATTTCACATCCGTCACTGTTGAAAGATGTTAGGTTGACGCTCTTTTCGCTGTTGTATTTGAATGTAGGTATATGTACTGTAACTATTGACTCCCAACATTTGGCAAACAGCAATTTTAACATTAGTTGAAAGTTTAGAAAGAAAAGGAAAAAAGAACCAACTCATACTGACGTGAGTAGCAGAGATTTTCCTCGTTTGAGCAAGTGATTATAAGAGTTCAAATCTTAGTTTTGGTATTTTGAAGACGATTAAATTGCGTTGCGAGGAATGTATAAAAAAATAAAAAAGCCAAACCCAAAAAGAAAGAAAGGAGTTAGGATGAGACTTGAGAGGCTTTATTATGGGGCTTTGCTCTTCATCGGGATCGCTGTGCCTTTTCTTTTTGCGTACTATTTACTATTTAATTAAAATTATTAATATTATCAGAGTAAGGATCTCATTCTGATCTGATCGCATTCATTCAAAGGCTCTTCTTTTCTTTAAAGCTTTCGAGTCCCAAGTCGCCCCCATGCCTCTACTGCTCAGTTCAGCGCTGCTCTTGTAGGCCCCTCTAAACAGAACTCCCAGTCGGCATGACGTTGTCAAACTTATTTCTCTCTCTCACACACACAAAGACACACACAACTAAGCTAGGATCTTATATTAACGGCTAGGATTCAAACATTATCACGTCCAATTGGGAATCATTCTTTTTTCATCCACAAGGTTCCATTTTTTAACCCTTGTTTGAAGAAAATCAAGTCGCTTTCGCTTAACTTAAATGCAGCTAGTACCATTTTCAAACTTCAACTGTCGATGAGCATGCTTTATTCCTTACCATATAAAATCAGACCTGTCCAAATGAAGACTATAATAAACAAATTATTTAATTTTTATCATCAATGCATCATTTTTTTCACCGGTGTTCATCCTCTCTTTTTATATTCATGTATTCAGTCAGATATTAACTGAACAGAATATGGTTAGCTATATTTGTGATTTATATCTTATAATGATATTTATGCACTCTTTTCAAGTTTATCTCTCTTTTTCTGAATGCACTGTAATATTCTATGTTTCTGTCATACCTCTAACTCTTGTTGGTCGCATATATAAAGAGCTAGTTAGTATGAACTTTTTTTTGCCATTTGGCAAGTATCTTTTGCTTTTCCAAGATCTTGTTTATATAAAAAGTTATTTATAGAAATTGCAGAGCTTTTCCACGTAATTTCTTAACATTCAAAATTTGGTAATAAATCTCTGCAACTTTTAATATTATATATATAAATGATTTTTTTATTGTTGATTATACCATTTTTTATGCAAAAAAGTGAGGCGCAACAAGAGATTTATTATCACATAACTTAAAGTTTAAAGCTAGTCAGTGAGAATTTAATTCATGACTTATAAAATCATGAATTCAAATCTCACTGTTTGATATGAGAACTTTATTATTAGCCATGTGATGTGTAAATATCTTTATAAATATTTGAGTTGGAGGCATGTGTTAGTCTTATTGAGCTTTGGGGGGTTTAACATCCAACTCGTCTATTTCTATTTTAAAAAAGAAAGTTTTACAGTTTCAAGAAAAATATTTATGTATGATTTCAATTAAGTTTAATATATTTCTTGCACAACAAATGAATTTTAAGTAGATTTCATTCTCATTGACATAATATATTTTGTTAACCGAATATTGAACAAAGAAATAGCAACAGATAAATTATTTGCACAATTTCAAACATTTGGAGAATTCACTTTGTTTTATCAAGATCAAATAATTATAAATGCATAATGATCATAAGATGTGTGATATTTAGTAATTATAAAAATTTTGATGTTCACATATATAAATAATTTATTATTTTTGTATTATATATATATATATGATATGTATAAATTATAAAATTTCTATGAGGTAAATCTAGACACAGATTTTAATTTATGTTCTTAGAAAATTAAATTTAACCCATATATACCAAACAAGAAAGGACAAAAAGAACGATTGTCCTTCTCAGGAAATGCCGATCAAATAAAGCTTTCGAAAATGCCACTCCTCTAAATCTAATATCATTAGTTTTATTATTATAAGCCGACCTGAAATAAAGCAAACTCAAATAATCTCAATTGAGAAGATGATAAAATGTCTCTTCAATATAGAAAGGAAAAAAGCATAGCTTAACAGAACGTAAAAGAATATATATATATATATATATATATAATTTTTTAAATCAATATTCTATTTTTACTTAAAAAGGTCGTTCACTATTTAGGAAAGATTCAAATTTCCAAATAAAATGGACAAAATAGCCTTCTTCATGGAATTTGAGTTTTGACAAATGAGGGTCCTACTTTTTGGTTTTGGATGCTTGGAGGAGGATTTTCTTTTCTTTCATTTGAAGGAAAGCCAAAAATGGCGTTAGTTGAAAAAAAAGTTATTATAAATGAACTAATTTCAATTTTTTTAATATTAACAAATATTGTTAGAAATATGTAGTATTCATTATAAAAACATTAAACAACATATTATAATATTAGAACAATGCATGCTAACTTGGTGTGTAATTAACAAAATATTGCTAGATCTCATAATTCTATAAAAAAATATTGTCCATTTTAACTTTGCTAAAAGCTAAGGAAAAATTAAAGAGATTCACACACATATATAAAAGATTAAGAGTCTTTTTTTTTTCAATCTTCATGAAATAATAATTTTACATAGTGATAAAACATTAACATATTAAATTTAATCTAAAAATAAAAATAAAACACTAAGAGGTTATCATTTGAGAATTCTTTATCAGCATTTAAAATTATTGCGTTAGTATTTTTGTTAATAAAATTAACGAGGTTAGGGTCAAATTAAAATTTTGTTTAAAATTAGAAGATAAAAGAAAATAGTTTTGCCGTCTTTTTATATATTACTAGAGTTTAAAGAATAAATCGCGCTGCTTATAATCAGCTGCGACTTTTTATCTCCATCCATTTGTTTTTGCTCCTTAATTAATTATTCATGCAATAATAAATTAAGTCACCATAGGAATAATTGAGCAGTCATGCACGATTAATCAAATTCTAAATTTGTGGAGAATTCAACCTTGTATAAAAAAAAATTGAGTTTTACATCGTTTGATTGACGCAAATGAGAATGTTTTCTCATTTTCTATTTTATAATTCAACATTAAAGGAATTGTCAAGAGAAAATTTTCAATGATGATAGGCTAACTAATTTGATCAGCAAGGTTATGAAGTAACATATATAATGTCCCTCATAAGAAGTTTTATTTGATTGTTGAAGTGATATGATTATCAAAATTGGCAAAAGCAAACTTGGATTTTGTGGAGGATCAGGACCCCACATTTTGAAATGAAATTTGAGCACAAATCTCTAATGATGCAAACATGGCCTGCCTAAATTTGGTTACCATCCCCATCATCTTTTGTTGCTTGTACCTATTTGTATATAGGGGCGTCACTAATTAAAAATAAATAAAAAGGATGTATTATTGAGAACTTAAGTGCGAGTTGATGTATTAAGAATAATTGTGTGTGTGTGTATAGGAGGAATGACATTATTAAAAAATTAAAAGATTTGAAAATTAGAAATGAAAATCAACAGGTTTTTTTATAGTAAATATTGGTCTAATAAAGTTTATTATTCTCATTTAATGATTTACAACTCTCAAAACGAAAATTTGCAAGTGAGATTCGCAAATTTACAAAGAAAAAACTTGTTAAATATATCATTGCTTGAAAATTTGTGAATAATGACAAATCACTAAACATGGCGATATGTATATAACAATTTTTTTTTTTAACAAATTAGTGAATTCCACTTGTAAATTCTTGTTTTAATTGTTACAAATAATAAAATGAGAGAGTAGCAAATTTTTAAACCAAGCCACTAAAAATTTTTTAGTCCTTATTTTGAATTTTCAAATCTTTTGATCCTTATTGAAATAGTTTAATTCAATATTTTAGTCTTTTAATGTTATTCTACTATATATATATGTGTGTGTGTGTGTGTGTGACCGCGTCATAGTTTAGAAGATGTAATTTAATTTGTAGAACATGTTAAAATTGATGCCTACTTTTGAAAAAGAGAGAAGAATTATTATAGGATGGAGATTCATATCCACTAATGGAAGTGGATGCCACTCAATATTGCCATTGTATAGTACACACTAGGTGGCCTCAAATCAAAGCATGATGATAAACACACGCAACAATTCATGCAATCCCATCAGTGCGTTTCTTCTGTTTTTAGCAATTCAATTTTCACTTTCTCTTTAATCTAATTGTGAAACCAAAGATCTGCAGAATCAAAGGAACTGATGGCCATGGAAATTTACACGTTTGTTATTCAACTGGATATATAGAAGCCAAGTAGATATGAATTATCTTTGTTCAATATCGATGATGTTAGCCAGGGTGGGTTAGTTAAGATGTTATCATCGTCTCAACTTTTTCTTTTTTGTATATGAGATGATCTTAAAACAGAAACATGTAGAATTTTGCAGAAACTTGGATAATAATCTCCTCGTTAATTAGCAATAATTTGTTTCATAATGTTTACTTTGACATCATTGTCATGCTATATATGCTATAATCAAATTAAGACAAGTTGTATTATCGTGGGTCTATATCACTTTATTGGATTCTTACGGACAATTCAATTTTCATTTATGAGCTACAAAACAAAACCATTTACTGACTTACTATTATTATGAAAGCCAGAAACAGGA